CTCTAGCTAGCCTATGAAGCCAAGCAAACAATATCAACAGTCCATGAATAACTTAAAAATACATTAACTTTAATGAAATCTAAGTAAGTGTGATCCTTTCAAGGATAAGTACTAAAATACAAGGTGTCTTATCTGATGTTTTTCTTCTGGCTGTTCCTCACCTAACAAAGAAAATCTGTTTTTGTTTTTACAGTACAAATGGTGATAATCATCAGGTCAAGGATAGTCTGGAGCAATTGAGATGTCACTTTACATGGGAGTTATTCATTGAAGATGATGAAATGCCTGATTTAGAAAATAGAGTCTTGGACCAGATTGAATTCCTAGACACCAAATACAATGTGGGAATACACAACCTACTAGCCTATGTGAAACACCTGAAAGGCCAGAATGAGGCAGCCCTGAAGAGCTTAAAAGAAGCTGAAGACTTAATGCAGAAAGAACATGCCAACCAAGCAAGTGTGAGGAGTCTGGTGACTTGGAGCAACTTTGCCTGGGTGTATTACCACATGGGCAGACTGGCAGAAGCCCAGGCTTACCTGGACAAGGTGGAGAACATTTGCAAGAAGCCTTCAAATCCTTTCCGCTATAGAATGGAGTGTCCAGAAATAGACTGTGAAGAAGGATGGGCCTTGCTGAAGTGTGGAGGAAAGAATTATGAGCGGGCCAAAGCCTGCTTTGAAAAGGCACTTGAAGGGGACCATGAAAACCCTGAATTCAGCACTGGGTATGCGATCTCTGCCTATCGCCTGGACGGCTTTAAATTAGCCACAAAGGGTTACAGGCAGTTTTCTTTGCTTCCCCTAAGGCAGGCTGTCAGTCTAAATCCAGACAATGGATATCTTAAGGTTCTCCTTGCCCTGAAGCTTCAGGATAATGGACAGGAAGCTGAAGGAGAAAAGTACGTTGAAGAAGCTCTGGCCAACATGTCCTCACAGACCTACGTCTTTCGATATGCAGCCAAGTTTTACCGAAGAAAAGGCTCTGTGGATAAAGCTCTTGAGTTATTAAAAAAGGCCTTGCAGGAAACACCCACTTCGGTCTTACTGCATCACCAGATAGGGCTTTGCTACAAGGCACAAATGATTCAAATCAAGGAGGCTACAAAAGGGCAGCCTAGAGGGCAGAATAGAGAAAAGATAGACAAAATGATAAGATTAGCCATATTTCATTTTGAATCTGCAGTGGAAAAAAAGCCCACATTTGAGGTGGCTCATCTAGACCTGGCAAGAATGTATATAGAAGCAGGCAATCACAGAAAAGCTGAAGAAACTTTTCAAAAACTGTTATGCATGAAACCAGTGGTAGAAGAAACAATGCAAGACATACATTTGCAGTATGCTCGGTTTCAGGAATTTCAAAAGAAATCAGAAATCAATGCAATTATCCATTATTTAAAAGCCATAAAAATAGAACAGGCATCATTCATAAGAGATAAAAGTATCAATTCTTTGAAGAAATTGGTTTTAAAGAAACTTCAGAGAAATGCATTAGATCTGGAAAGCTTGAGCCTCCTTGGATTTGTCTACAAATTGAAAGGAAATATGAATGAAGCCCTGGAGTACTATGAGCGGGCCCTGAGACTGGCTGCTGACTTTGAGAACTCTGTGAGACAAGGTCCTTAGGCACCCAAATATCAGCCACTTTCACATTTCATTTCATTTTATGCTAACATGTACTAATCATCTTTTCTGCTTACTGTTTTCAGAAACATTATAATTCACTGTAATGATGTCATTCTTGAATAATTACATCTGATAAAATATTAGTTGCAGTCAACAATTAGTGAAACCATGTGTGTGTGCATGTAAGAAAGAGAGAAATCATTTGTATGAGTGCTATGTAGTCAAGAAAAAATGTTAGGTAACTTTGTAGGAAATAAAATATTGGACTTACACTAAATGTTTAATTCATTCATTTTATTGTGAAATAAAAATAAAATCCTTAGCTCCTCCATCAACTGAACAGACCCTTTTGGCCAAGGAGACCCCAGAAACCTTAAAAACTAAGTTTCCCAACCATGACGAGATGAGAGATCATTCACACCTCATTATATTCCCTCCCTTGCTAACTGCCATTGGACTTTTTCCACTGAGTTAAACAGAAACCCATGGAAAACAAAGAACAGAAGACTCACTCCTTGGCTGACTTCACCTAGCTCACTCCACCTAGCACCACGGCCAGACTCCCTTCCCCTCTTGCGGGTTCCACATGACAACTGATCAGCCTTCCCTCCTGATAAGTGACCACCGTCCACAGACTGGTTCTGGCCAGTCCATGGAGGCCGCACACAGGGTGCCTCAATGTCCTTTGTTTCACCTTTTGACATATGAAGCCTAATTTTGCTGCATTTTAATGTTAAGTCTCCACCATAAAGTGAACAGAGAATGCTTGTAACATACATGCTTGTGTACCACTCTTCTGTGACTGCTCCTCATGAACATTCATAGCCCCCCATAACCTGTTAAATATGTGTGTCCAGCCAACCTACCAAGCATAAAACTTCTGTAATACCCTCCCTCACTCCAAGAGCCTGCTTTTGGTTGCTATGGTAGGCTCTGTTTCCCAGGCTGCAGGTTGTGGGAGAGGAGGCTGCAGTGGCTCATGCCTGTAATCCCAGCACTTTGGGGGGATGAGGCAGGAGATCACCTGAACCCATGAATTCAGGAGCAGCCTGGGCAATGGCAAAACCAACCATCTCTCCAAAAAATGCAAAAACTTAGCTGGGTGTGGTGGCGTGCAACTGTAACTGCAGTTCCAGCTCCTCAGGAGGCTGAGGTGAGTGGATTGCTGGAGCCGGGGAGTTTGAGGCTGCAGTGAGTCTTGCCACTGCACTCCATTCTGGGTGATAGAACGAGACCCTGTCTCAAAAAAAAAACACAAAAAAAGTTTTCTCCAAATGTACACTGCTTGTGATTTTATGTCAACATCATCAACAAATAGCTTTCAGTGCAAGAAACCAAAAGTACTGTAATACACAGGCAAATATTCTTCCCAAATCTCATGCTGTTTACAATCTAGTGAGAAACACAGATAGCAGTACACAGTCAATTAAAGGTTAGCTTTCTCCATGAAGATGTTTCAGGTTTAATTCAACGTGAAAGTGTTTCAAGGAGTTTATCTTGTTTTATGCCATTTTATTTGAAGCACTATTTACTAAGTCATTTGCTGATATTAATCTAGTTAAATCAAGAAATATTACATGAAAGGTTGCTAAATAATCAGAGATCATTGGTAACAATCACCTTTGATTATAAATAATCACATTTTATTGAAAGGCAATGCACAACACATAATATTATAAGAAGGAAAAAATAAAGAAGCAATGTTTTTGAGCTTTCGTTCTTGTATATGTTTTAGGGGAGAATATATTAGCTTCCTGTAGTGGCTGTAATAAATTACCACAAATTTGGTGACTTAAAATTTCACAGATTTATTATCTTACAGTTCTGGAGGTCAGAAGCCTGAAATGGGTTTCAATGAGCCAAAGTCAAGGTATTGACACAGCTACACTCCTCCAGAGGCTCTAGGCCTTTTCCAAATTCCAGAGGCTGCCTGAATTATTTCACCCACCTTCAAAACCTACAGTGTAGTAACTTCACATCTCTCTCTCTCTGCTTCCTTCTTCACATCGCCTTCTCTCCTCTGACTCTTTTGCCTCTTTCTTCTAAGGACCCACCAGGTCTACCTGGACAATCCAGGATCATCGCCCCATCCCCACATCCTTGATTTAATAACATCTGCAAATTCCCTTTTGCTATGTAAAGTAACATGTTCACAGGTTCTAGAGATTTGGTCATGGATACCATTGGGGGGGCATTATTCTTACTACTACAGAGCACCCCAAGAAAATCTCCAAATTTTGGGCTTCCAATCCATTTTGCTTCAATTATTTAATATTGTTACTCCTTCCAGTAGATACTGATTTCATCCATTGTCCTGACAGAGATTATGGCACATCTCAAATTAAATGCTAAATTTTCACTGGAAGTACATTTTTTGCTTCAACTTTTATTTTAAATTCAGGGGTACATGTTCAGGAGGTTCAGGTTTGTTACATAGGTAAACATGTGCCATGGTGGTTTGCTGAACAGATCATCCCATCACCAACATATCATCCCATCACCTAGATATTAAGCCCAGCATCCCTTAGCTGTACTTCCTGATGTTCTCCCTCCCACCAACCCCACCTCCAACAGGCCCCAGTGTGTGTTGTTCCCCCCTGTGTCCATGTGTTCTCATCATTCAGCTCCCACATATAAGTGAGAACATGCAATGTTTGATTTTCTGTTCCTGCATTAGTTTGCTGAGGATAATCATCGGAAATACTTGCTCTGTACTTAGATTTCATAAAATTTGCAACTTAAAAAGTAGATTCGTGTACCTAAGTTTTTCCAAATATTCTTTAAAGTTTTCTATTAACTTATCAGTTTTTAAATTTATATTAAATTAAAAATCAGGTCTTTAATAGCCACATGTGACCAGCAGTTTCTGTATAAGACAGTACAACTGTTAGAAGTGATTGCCTTAAATGAGGCACTAGCTTCAGGCACTAAGTCTTAGGGGGTGGGGTGCCAGGAAGCTCAGTGATCAAGGTAGACAATATTTCAATGCAATATGTTTTTAAAAATTCAAAATCAGGCCAGGGATGGTGGCTCATGCCTGTAATCCCAGCACTTTGGGAGGCCAAGGTGGGTGGAACAATGTTTAAGGATTAGAAAAATGTTTGAGCCCAGGTGGTGGAGACCAGCGTGGGCAACATGGCAAAACCCCACCTCTACAAAAAATAAAGTAATGAGCCCGACATGGTGGTGGAGGACACCTGCAGTCCCAGCCACTCAGGAGGCTGAGATGGGAGGATCGCATAAGCCCTGGAGGTTGAGGCTGCAGTGAGCTGTGATCTCACCATTGCACTCCAACCTGAGCGACAGAGTGAGACCCTGTCTCAAAAAAAAAAAAAAAAAAAAAAAAAATCAAAATCAATGCAAAAGGTGAATTACGGACAGGATATTGAGATTTTGAATACAGACATTAACTCAATAAGGGTAAGGCCCGAGTCTGTTTTCTTTATTGTTATATTGACAGTACTTTGAACAAAGTCTGGCTCTTACAGTTGTTTGTCAACATCTGCCGAATGAATTCAGAGGGGACAAAATGTTTAAGGTATGGGTGGGTGTTTGACATTTTCTGCCTAGATCCCAATGCCACTCTTGTCTTTATTGGGTACTCATTACACAAAGCACCATTGGCGAAGGTTGGAAGAGAAGCACTCTCCTACGATTGTGGGTAGGAGTGGATTTTTAAAGCTATTTGGCAATATCCGTCAAAACTTAAAATGTATATAGATTTTAACTCCAAATTTCTCTAGCTTACACCCAACAGAAATAACAGCATAGATGTACAGCATTGCCGTGTTTCTTGTTGAATCAAAAGACTGGAGTGGAAGCAGGGACTTCAGTTTTCGCCTGTAATCCCAGCACCTTGGGAGGCAGAGGCGGGTGCATCGCTTGAGATCACGACTGAGTGACACAGTGAGACCCTGTCTCAAATAAACAAAGAGTTAAACGGGCAGCACGCGAACTCAGCTGACTCAGAGAGGCAGGTAAGAGCCGAGACCAAAGTGCAGGGGCCCAGCTGCAAATTCAACTCCGAAAAACCCTGGACTCCGCAAACGTCTGGCCGCGGCTCTTGAGCTCTTCTATTAAGTTTCGGTTTCTGAAGCTTCGTTAAGTTTCCATTTCTTAAGTTTCGGTTTCTGAGAGCTCGGGCATCACATTCAATTTCCAGTTTCCTGTTCTAGCTGGGGCTGGGGTACCTCCTTTAACAAAGACCGGCCGCGCCGCCGACTCCCAGGGCTGCCGCGGCCTGGCGGGCGCGCGCGCGCGCGCACGCGCACGCGCACCCGCCCTCCCACTGCGGGGCTGCCCTCGGTCCCAGGTGCTGAGGAGAGAGAGAGCGCGCGAGGGACTGCGCCGCCCTGACGGCCTGCAGAGCGTTGCCATCATGAGGTAAGAGTTTTCCTCTGCCTCTCCTCCCAAGCCCCGGGTTGGCCTTTGTTTCAAACCGGGCATCTTTTATTCATTTCCAGCGCAATTCTGCGGCCTTTTCAGGGGCCAAGCCCCTCGCGCCCGGCAGCCAGGCATCTGCGTTGGGGACCCTCCCCAGGCGCTCTGTCCCGGCGCGCGGCGTCTGAAGTCGGGCCTATCGGGGAGGGTGGCCGAGTGGACGCTTCTCCGGAGTCCGGTCCCTCCCGAGCGCCTGAGGAGGCCAGTCAGGGAGGAGGAACAGGAGATGCTCCCCGGCAGCCTGCCCCATCCCTGGCGTCTGCGGTCGGGACTGTCAGGGCGTGTGCCGGGCGACGCTCCCCCAGGAGGCCTGTCCACCCCGCGCGACCCGACGGCTTTTCTCGGAAGCGGCGACGGAGACCGTGCTGGGCACGCGGACGCCGCCTCCGGGAAACTGGTCAGAGCCTGCAGAGTCCCCCGGGGCCGTTCCGGGAGCAGCTGCTACATGCGGAGTCTCCTTAGGCCCTATCGCGTGCCTCGCTTTCCAGCTGCCATTCCCTCGGTGTGGCATACGCGGTTTCGCCGCAGCCCTCCAGGTGTCACATTCGCCTGCCACTGCCATTTTGCCTTTCTGATTTCTGGGTCTGAGTTCTTCCCTTCCGGGGAGCTACCTCTGTACCAAGCACAGATTGTTATCATCCCACCCAATCCGCTATTTTATGAGGATTTCTTTATCTGACTCCTTTACTGATTCAGTATGATGGCGTCCTTTTCTTAATCATTTTGTATTCCCAGGGGCTAGTACCCTGCCCTGCACGTGGTTAGTGAACCTTCCGCATTTAATGAGTTGAGGAATAAGAGGTTAAGGTTAAGGTCTTGGGCTCCAAAAGCAGATAGTCCCTTGTTCTAAATCCTGACTGAGCTCCTACTAGTTGAGTGACCCCAAAGTTTCTCAAACTCTGTGAGTCTGTTCCTTATCTGTAAAAATTAATGGTGACCATCTCTTGGGACTGTGGAAAAGGACAATAATAAATCCTAGCAATCGACTGCTTAGCACATAATTCTTGCACAATAAATGTTAACTATTCTCATTATTATAAGTTAAAGTTTAAGTGCCACCCACACATCTACCTTTTTTTTGAGATGAAGTCTCGCCCTGTCACCCAGGCTGGAGTGCAATGGCTCAATCTCGGCTCACTGCAACCTCCGCCTCCCGGGTTCAAGCGATCCTCCTGCCTCAGTTCACCTTGTAGCTGGGATTACAGGCGTGCGCCACCACTCATGGCTAATTTTTTGTCTCTTTAGTAGAGACGGGGGTTTCACCATGTTGACCAGGCTGGTCTCGAATTCCTGACCTCGTGATCTGCCGGTCTCAGCCTCCCAAAGTGTTGGGATTATAGGCGTGAGCCACTGTGCCTGGCCACATGTAACATTTTTAAGAAAGGAGAGTGCTATCAGGAAGGGGCTTAAAAAAAAAAAAAAAAAAAGAGGTGGTGTGTACCGTACATATGCAGGATGGGGAGGAAAAGGGCTGGGCCCCATTGGGGACTGTCTCCCAAGGACAATGAAAGACTGCTTCTTCCTAGCAGAAGAACAGAATTACTGAAAGATACCCTCTTCTGATGCAATAGCTTCTCTCTTATCAGCTTCCCAGAGACAGAGTTACAAAATTAAGTAGACAAAGTTTAAACAGTAAAAATTCTCATGGTGTCCAGTTGTGCATAAATTCCAGAGCCTGGACAAACCACTTCAGTACCTGATTGAATGTCCCTTTGAGATCTTACAACCACATTCATAATACCTGAGCAGCCCTCCTCATCCTCCTTGGGCTGGGCTGGTAGAGACCTTCAAAACAAGCGTTTGTTTTAGGCAGAGGACTGGTAAAGCAATATTGTGGATTTGAGCAGGCTGTAAGGACATGGCATGTCTTGCCCATGTTTTTGGTACAGTTATACTAGAGAAAGGAACAATTACCAAGGAACAATTTTACCATGTTTCCTAGTCAGAATCAGTACTCAATACAGAAATGGAATTTTCATATTAATTATTGAATATGTATATCTTTATTCCTAATTTCCAGTGGTTTAGTGATTGCCAAAAGGAAATAGATGCATGTAATACAGAAAGCTCTGTCATCTCTCCAGAACTGTTTTTGCAATAAATAGTGAGAATTTAAATGAAATATTTCTAGGACATAACTGTACATAGAAGAAACTCTAAAGTTATGGGAACCTAATGCTTTAACTGTAAGATCAAATAGGGATAAAATTAGTTGTTATGCAAAGAACAATATTTAAGGTTTAGAAAATTATTTCTTGTATTTCTTCAAAAATTAAAAAGTATTTTATCTTTGACAGTGAAATTCCTAAGGACCCCTTGAAGGCCATTCTGTTGGAGTTAGAATGTCATTTTACATGGAATTTACTTAAGGAAGACATTGATCTGTTTGAGGTGGAAGATACAATTGGGCAACAGCTTGAATTTCTTACCACAAAATCTAGACTTGCACTTTATAACCTATTGGCCTATGTGAAACACCTAAAAGGCCAAAATAAAGACGCCCTTGAGTGCTTGGAAGAAGCAGAAGAAATAATCCAGAGAGAACACTCAGACAAAGAAGAAGTACGAAGCCTGGTCACTTGGGGAAACTATGCCTGGGTGTATTATCACATGAACCAGCTTGAGGAAGCTCAGAAGTATACAGGTAAGATAGGGAACGTCTGCAAGAAATTGTCCAGTCCTTCTAACTACAAGTTGGAGTGTCCTGAGATTGACTGTGAGAAAGGGTGGGCACTCTTGAAATTTGGAGGAAAGTATTATCAAAAGGCTAAAGCGGCTTTTGAGAAGGCTCTGGAAGTGGAACCTGACAATCCAGAATTTAACATCGGCTATGCTATCACAGTGTATCGGCTGGATGATTCTGATAGAGAGGGGTCTGTAAAGAGCTTTTCTCTGGGGCCTTTGAGAAAGGCTGTTACCCTGAACCCAGATAACAGCTACATTAAGGTTTTTCTGGCACTGAAGCTTCAAGATGTACATGCAGAAGCTGAAGGGGAAAAGTATATTGAAGAAATCCTGGACCAAATATCATCCCAGCCTTATGTCCTTCGTTATGCAGCCAAATTCTACAGGAGAAAAAATTCCTGGAACAAAGCTCTCGAACTTTTAAAAAAGGCCTTGGAGGTGACACCAACTTCTTCTTTCCTGCATCACCAGATGGGACTTTGCTACAGGGCACAAATGATCCAAATCAAGAAGGCCACACACAACAGACGTAAAGGAAAGGATAAACTAAAGGTTGATGAGCTGATTTCATCTGCTATATTTCATTTCAAAGCAGCCATGGAACGAGACTCTATGTTTGCATTTGCCTACACAGACCTGGCCAACATGTATGCTGAAGGAGGTCAGTATAGTAATGCTGAGGACATTTTCCGGAAAGCTCTTCGTCTGGAGAACATAACCGACGATCACAAACATCAGATCCATTACCACTATGGCCGCTTTCAGGAATTTCACCGTAAATCAGAAAATACTGCCATCCATCATTATTTAGAAGCCTTAAAGGTCAAAGACAGATCACCCCTTCGCACCAAACTGACAAGTGCTCTGAAGAAATTGGCTACCAAGAGGCTTTGTCACAATGCTTTGGATGTGCAGAGTTTAAGTGCCCTAGGATTTGTTTACAAGCTGGAAGGAGAAAAGAGGCAAGCTGCTGAGTACTATGAGAAGGCACAAAAGATAGATCCACAAAATGCAGAATTCCTTACTGCGCTCTGTGATCTCCGACTTTCCATTTAAATACACACTCTAGGAAATTAGCTCTAAGTTTTTCCCTCCATTTTGGGTTCTTCTTTTTTTTTTTTTAATTGTTTTAATCCATTGTTTATTATAGAACTAATATTTATTGAATAGTTATTGTGTACCAAGCATTGTGCTAAATACTTTATATGCATTATGATGAATCTTGTGTAGTTTTCTTTTTCTTTTTAATTAAAATACTATAATCCGTTGAGAAATAGCAATATTCTAGCTATTGTAACTTTTAAAAATGGTATGGCCATTAGATCTGAGCTTTTTATCTCTGCTTTTTGTAACACTTTGCAGATTACATTTTGGCAAATTTCTCATATTATGTAGTAAATATATTCCTATGTAAACCTTTGTTACCTAGATCAGGAATACTCTTCCAGGAGTACAAAATTACATTATTAATAGTTAAGCTCTTAACTATGTAGTTTGCAAAATACAGCACTTTTTAGTTACAGATGTTTTGACTTTGATGAGGATATTTAGCTATCAATCTAATAGTCACCTAAAATATCTTTTTTGTTGGAAAAAAGTTTATAATAAAAAAGTTTGTCATCTCTAGTGACTTCAATAAAATGAAAAAACTAGAAGAGAAGAAAAAAGATTTCCTCAAATTTTAAATATGTAACTTCAGGGATTCAATTCCCAAATGTTTATTAAGTAGTTAGAAATAATTATGTGGGAAAACAATAAATAATGGAAAATAGTGAGTCTCAAATTGTTCTTTTTTTTTTTTTTACTAAAAAAAATCTGCAATGAATCTATATGCAATTAATTTTATTCCTTCCAGCTAAAATTACAATATTTTTAGATTAAAATTATTGAGATATAAAGCAGCCATTGGGAAATTGGGAGAAATGATAAACAAATGGAAAAAGAAATGTCCCTAACCTACCCCTATAGATTACCAATATTTCAGTGTACTAATTTTGAATCTGTTCTGAATAGCGTTTTTATACCCTCAATTTCTGGCCTTTGACTATTTTAGCATTTCAAAGTGACTTCTACGAAGCTTTTTTTTTTTTTATGTGAAATTTTCAGAGTGTTGTTTTTTTCATGTAAATACTCCAGGAAGAGTTAAGCGTGGCTTTCAGTTTTAATATCCACCTTCAGGGGTTACTGCTTGAGGGCTTTTATCCCAGGGGACTTTTTAATTTGGATGTTACTTAATGTGGCTTATCTAATGTAGTTTCTTTGATTATAGACTACACAATTATGTACCATCACAGTATTAGTGGAAACGTACCATGTGATTTAATTCTCCATTCCTCCAATGTAACTCTTAAAATTATTATGTAAGTGTGTGTTTTACTTTTTGTTTTTTATTATTTTTAAAATTTCTATTATGGTTTGATTGTTATAAAAATAATGAATTCTCATTGTAAATTTCCAAAAAAAAATTACAAAAATATGTGAATTTAAAAATGAGAGCAGTCCCCTTACCCTACCACAGTTTCACACCCTCAAGGTAAACTTACAACAATTTGATATGTATCCTTCCAGATCTTTTTTCTATACGTAGTCAGACATACATATATACTGCAGTGTATCTCATGTATTAATTTTTTAATCTTTTGTTTTACTTAATTCTGTTTATTATTATTATTATGTTTGAGCTATTAAGGAAGAACAAGGAAGGGAATGATCTTTTCTCAAGAATTTCAGAAAGTCAGCACTGAAGTCCTGACCTATCAGTAGACACATTTGTCCCTTTGAAATATTTTAGGATATTCTAGCAAAGCAGGCCATTTCTCCCACCTGAAAGTACATAACTTCCATCGCTTGCTACGTAATTCAAAAAACTCACATTCAGGGGTTACTCAGACAGTTAATCATAGAAAAGATTATTTGCTTCATCATTTAACTTGTTTTTATAAATCAGAGCTGTGTTCATACACAGAAGGGGCCTGAGATTTCTGCCCTTTAAACAAACTACCAGGTGAGGATGCTGCTGCTGTTCTTCTAATTACATTTTGAGTAGTAATGTCTACAATATTGTTCCTCAAACTTGGCTACATATTGGAATCACCTAAAAAGTTAAAACAAAACATGGATGTCTGGGTCCCACCCCATAGAGAGTGACTCACTTGGCATGGGGTGCAGTCCAGGCATCATGATTTTTAGATTTCCCAGTTGGAACTTGTGCAGCAAAGTTTGGGAGCTACTGATCTACAATGTGAAAGGTAAGTATAAATGGAATAAAATTAATTAGGCTAATAGGCTTAAACCAGGAAATCCTAAGTTCCTTGAATATCTGGTTTGCATTTGGACTCCTCATCTTGTACTTGATATATAATACTCTAATAAAAGCTGCTGGAGTTGAATTGTATATTGTCCTACACCTACCTCTGAAAGCTGCCCTTACCAACTGACTCAAAGTCTCTGAAATGGGTCCAAATCCTACTTAGTTAGATGAACTCATCCTGTCAAGCCTGATAAGAATCCTATGATTCCAGGCCCAAGTTATTTTCTTGCCTATTAGACAAACTTATAAATATGCCCAGAAAAGTGGCTGTGATTGCTATTCAGGGTAATTTGGCCCTTCCAGAAAAGAAGTGCTCCTCTCCAAATCTTGAAGGTGCTCTTGGAAACTATTTCATTCAGCACTAAAGGTAGGCTCCCTGACTCATAAAAGCTGAGAAAAGCCCTTTGAACAAATGACAAATCAGCTGGCAGAAAAACTGGCTTCCTAGTCATGGAGCTCTTAAAGATATTTGCTGTCCTCTCTGAGTTCCCAAATAGTCTTAGCAGTTGATCACATGCTATCAGCTAGAGTTTCAAAAGCAGTATAAACTGTCACTATTTCTTTCTAGATTGAGTCAACGATGAAGATTACTTCAGTTCAAGAACAACCTTGTAGACAACACAGAACTTTAAAATCAGGAGAACCTTGAGAAAATCCCTACTCCAACCAACTTTATTGATACGAAAATTGAGACCAGGACTGGTGATACGACTTAAGGTTTCACAACTAATTTGTGGACCATAATTTTTTTCTCCTGGCTGCTGGTTCAGTAGCACTTACGCCCATTTTATAGTTTCTACCGGGAATCATTTGTTGTAGGCTAAACATCAATTGACAGAGTTTATCTGGCCATGATATGACTATGCTTATGTGACATCAACTATAACACAGGCAGGCCCAAGGAGAGTCCTTTTATGGAATATGTTCATTACTGAGATTAAAGAACATGACAGAACTATAAAACAATGTGGCAAGTTTTTATATAATTGGCAAATTACAAGAAGTGAAAATCCATTTGGCCTTGACAATTGGAACAGTCTCCTTTGAGTAGTTCAAGTGTAATAACATTGTAACCCTAATGTGGTAGCAATGAGAAGCACCTCTCAGATCTCTAGCTACAGGGATTATAATTGTCTGAAGGTCCCATCTCTACACATCGAAGTCTATCACTACATTTACACTAAGGCCATGCTTCCCAGTGTGGCAAGGATACTAAGTCATGCCCTCTCCTGAGAGATGCAATACTCCTCTGACGAGCAATTTCAGCTCAAGGACTCCCCACCAGCCTTGCCAAATGTTCCTTAAAACAATACTGTAATCTAAGATGTTTTTACCCAACTTTTCTTCCTTCTGTCTCCCCTACATATGGGGTCAAACCTGCATCACAGTTGGATGGCTCTCCCAGCCTCTGTCTGCTCTCTTCCCATTTTTTCTCAGAGGTGTTTCCCCGAATACATTTCTTGCACGTTCAACATCCCATCTTAGATCAAACTGACACATCTAGTGAAAGAAATGTAATTAGAGGACTCTAATTGGCTGGGTGTGTAAAAAATGTAATTAGAGGACTCTAATTGGCTAATATGTAAATAATGTTTACATAATATAAATGTCATTTATTGTTCTTCAACTTTTGGGATCAGTAATTATGATTAAAGAACAAAACATGGCTGGGTGTGGTGACTCATGCCTATAATCCCAGCACTTTGTGAGGCTAAGGCAGACAGGTTGCTTAAGGCCAGGAGTTCGAGACTAGTCTGGCCAACATGGCAAAACCCCATCTCTACTAAAATTACAAAAATTAGCTGGGCATGGTGGCACATACCTGTAGCCCCAGCTACTTGGGAGGCTGAGGCACAAGAATCACTTGAACCCAAGAGGCAGAGGTTGCAGTGAGCCAAGATCACATCATTGCACTCCTCCAGCCTGGGCGACAGAGTGAGACTCTGTCTAATAAATAAATAAATAAATCTTTCCAATGTTATAATATTTGATTTGGAAAAGAGAAGGGGGAAGAGAGGTAAGGGAAATAGTCTTAGTTTCTGTTGTGCTGCTATAATAGAATACCTGAGACTGAGTAATTTTAACAATCAGAAATTTATTTCTCACAGTTCTGGAGACTGGAAGTTCAAGATCAAGGAGCTGGCAGGTTTGGTGTCTGGTGAGGGCCTGGTCTCTGCTTCCAAGATGTCACCTTGAATGCTGCATCCTCTGGAAGGGAGGAACTCTGTTCCTCACATGGCAGAAAAGCAGAAGAGAGCAAGAACCCACTCCTGCAAGCCCTTTTGATAAGGGCATTAGTCTAGTCATGTGGACCAAGCCCTCAGGAACATCTTTCCTTAGGTCTCACCTCTCAATACTGTTGCATTGGAGATTAAGCTTCCAATCCATGAATTGGGAGGAGACAAAAACATTCAAACCATAGCAGAAAAATAGAGATGGAAAAGATACAGATCTAAGCGATGTTTTGTTTCTAGAACTGGATTCTGGAATTCAAAGATTTGGAATAAATTCCTCACAAAAGGAAGCTGTGTATTTTGGAAGACTGAAGAACCAGTAAACAATTAGAAGCCAGAATACATACCCAGTCCTTCATCCTTGGAAGGAAGGATATATCCCTTGTGCAAAGACCAACCAGCATCAGATCCTCACCCAGTGTGGAGAGCAAAATAAGAAGGCAAGGAGACAGTTGGATTTGGCCATTCCACAATGTATACATATTTTAAAACATATTGTACATGATAAATATATACAATTTTTATTTGTCAGTTTAAAAAGGAAAGGGAAGGGGTGGGGGATGAGGAGGGGTGGAGGGTGCTGGAACACATGTAACAACTAGGGCTAGGGTCACCTGCGCTTTAACATCCCCTGAGTTTGCCTTGAGCCTCCAGGCCATGGACTTTGGAACGTGGCTGTGAGTCCCTAATTCTATTAAATATTAATTTGGTTCAAGAGTAACTTCATCTCTCTTCACATGCTTTTCCTTTCCATACCACATCAACTCCAGCAAATCTCACCAAAGCAAACAAACAACAACAAATACCAAAACTGAACAAACACCAAAACTCAAATCACTTACAGGTCATTTCTATATAAAAACCCTTTATTGAGAAGATCTGAGGAGACAGAAAAATCTACAACTTTAAAGTTAATATTAGGTAATCTCTGTTTTTCAGGAAGAAAAAGGGAGAGAAGTGAGAGGGTGGAATATTGGGAGAGGGGAGACAGAAAGGAAACAAAAAAGAATGGAGGGAGTAAAGAAAGAAGAAAAGAAGGAAAGATCCCCAACCATTTATTGATATTCCTACCTCTTTCCATTATTCTGAGCTTTGCCTCTTTCTCTGTGTCTCCTCTTCTCCCTTCAAAACCATTCTTCCATTTTTCTTAAACAGAGCAACTCTGTTCTCTTATCCTCATACTCAGTCACAAACCCACCGATGAGTAACCAGATTCATTGAGTTGCTTAGTTCTACATAAGAACTTTCATTTTAACATGATCCATTCTCCTTTGAAAGCAATTTCAGTTATAAATAAATAGCATCCCCACACAATTTCACATGCACTACACATTTAAAGTAAATTTAATCACTAACTTTGTCATTATTGCTGTACAGTATAATCTGATATTTGATGTTTTCAAATCCACATGGAATCCATCCTTCTCTATCATTTGGTTTCAACATTTTCTAACATTTGGCTTCTGATATATGTTTGAGATTCTGTGTCTCACACTTTAACTCCTTTATCAACTCACAACAAATAAATTAACACATTAGTAGGGGTCACAGTGGGAACAAGAATGGGAGAAGGCTGACAATCTGGGTTCCTGAGAAAGGCAGAGGACTCCAAATTTTTTTAACATTATGTTTTACCAATGACTATCCCTAGTCAAGCCAGTCAAAATCGTCATTCATATTAACTTTGATACTCCATGTTGCAGAACTGATATAGGTAACCAAAAGCTGAAAACTGCAACACAGCATCTTTATCCCAGTATTTATACTTGCAAGAGGAACAGGATAAATGTGGGATGGGTAACCAGCAAGGGGGAGTTGGAAGAGGAGGAAACAATAACAAACTTGAATGTCTGTGCTAAGGCAGGCCTTGGGGAGTTGAACAATTGGAGATCCCCTACTCCTGGGAAGTGTGCTTGCTAATTCCAGCAGATGGCAGTGCTGCATAAGATGCCAATTTTAAAATGCTTTTCCCTGCTGTTCAAACTTTGGATCTTTGAGAATGACACTCTACAGTTGAAAGATGAATATTGAATTAAAACCCCATACCCTGAAAATCCCTGCTTTGTACTTAAAGAAGGCAACTTCAATCCCCAAAAGTCCCAGACATCTTTATGGACCCATCATCAGAACATTTACGTCCATGTGTGCTTGGTTCTGCACTGGCTTGAGATGCCTGCTGAAACCTTAAGGAGCCACACAAAGCAGCTGTCTCACATCTCTTTCCCTCACTCCCAGCCTCTTGCCCTGAAAAAAGTAAGGGCTGATTCCAATCTGTTCAATCCTGTCTTCAGATTCCCCAGAATCAAATTTCTTCACCTATAGTGAATTCTTCCTCTCCTAACCCTCAAAGTACTTACACATGCCCTTAGCCTCAGGTCAATGTTTAGTAACTTCTTGGTGTTATTCTAACCTGAGTTGGTTTCAATTTACCAATTAGGCAGTAAACTTGAGATCATGAAGGGGGTGCCATGTGTATTTTTAATTCTCCACCATATATATAACATGGTTCCAGATTCCAAAGAGGTGCTTGATAAATAGTCGGTTGCTTAACTCCTTTCACCATCTCTTAAAAAACTCTGCCAGCATACTGTCTAATTTTCAACAATGCCCTATGAGTTAGGGGCAGCCATACATCTGGTCAGGACAAATATTTCAGTCAGAAACATCTCCTGCACCTGGCAAAACCCTGGCATAAAGATTTCGTGTAAAAGCAGTTTGTGTGGTGCCTGTAACTGAAACCCCATCTTTTCATGTTTGAGGCATGTGCAATCTACCTTTTCCCAACGTTCCGGGGCTCCCTTGTGTGAACAGTTCCTCTTCCCTGGGGTATCCATTCATTTGTGCACAACAGCTATTTAATTAAGCCTGTCTGGGTTGAACACAGTAGTATCATTTTTTACATTCAGGCCTCAATCAAAAGTTTGTTATTTAGTATCTTTTGATCAACTCTTCTCTTTGCCACTTTTATTCCCTTTCCAAAACCTGCTCCATAATGGTCAATGTTCCACAGCTTCTAGTGTTTATGTGACACTTCTAACAAGGTGTCCTATTTAGACACACCAAATCTAATGTATCCTATCTGTTCTGGGTACAAGAGCAATTTGTACCCAAACAAACCTGCACCCCAACCCTTCAATCCGCCCCACCCTCGCTAATGTTACAATTCTCCTTAGCAGTTTTTTCATTTATTTGTTCTTTACACTCACTTATTCATTCACCAGGTATTCATCGAATGCCCACTCTGGGTCAGGCACAGCTCTAAATAGTGAATGAGTGAGTATGATCCCTATCCTCAGAAAGCTTGTGGTTTTGTGAAGCAGACGAAATTTAAAAATAAAAACACACATCAATATATATGATTGTAACTAAAAGATGTTCTTTGGAGGAAAATAACAGAATGCTATCAGCATGTAGAATGTGGGTGGTACTGGCGGGGGAGGGATGTATAATTTAGATAAGGGCAGTGGTTAAAGATGGACTCTCTAGGGCAGTGACATTTAAACTGAGGCCCAAAATATGAGAAGAGAGCGATCACAGGGATCAACATATGCAAAATGCCCCAAGGTCGGGGGTAGAAAGGGGAGGCTTGGTGCTTGGAGGAACTGATAGAAAAACTGGGCACTAGAGTGTAGTAGAGGATGGGGGATGTAGCCTAAGGACAGGAACCACACCCTGTGTGACCTCGTAGGTCCAGTGTGGGCACTGAATGCTCACATCAGCCCTGTCAGTTCTGTGACTCTGAAAAAGACTTTGCTCTTCCTTGTTTGAGCTTTAGAAACTTAGGGTCAGATATCTGGATTCATCCACCTGCACGTGGGCCGGAGCCTCAGGTAACTACACAGAGGCTGCCCCCCATTCTTTCTCCCACTCTCAAACTCTTCCCTACCTTGACCCATACCCACACCTTGCTCTGCCCCCAGTTGCAAAAATAAGCTATCCAAGACTGAGCACAGGTCTTCATCTTTCGTAGTACAAGGTCCTTGAGAACTCTTCTATCATTACACTGGTCAGTGGGAAAAGGTCTAACTTGTCATCACAAAAGAAACATTTATGGAAAAACTTGAAAAGGGCTACATTTGAAATGCTAATTCTAAAGCCTTTTAATGCCAACTCAACCCTCAAAAATAAACTACTTTTTATTTAATTCTAGACCAATCTTAGTTCCCAGATCCCTCAAAAAGACCTCTGACCCTTAAACAATTAAGAGCAATAATGAGAGTAATAATGATCACTCTCATCTAAACCTCAAATCCCTTTTTATTGGTTTGACTCTCTTGGGTCACGAGAGAGAGAGAAAAGGAAAAAAAAAAAAAGGCCCTTTTAACTTATTTAATACAGCCCTGGGCCTCAGGTAGATAGACCCTTTAGGGTGCTAGGGAGAGAAGGAGAAAATTTTAATCTTCAATTGATACTCAAAGCCCATAGCAAGAAAAGGGCCCGAATCAGCTTTGTAAGTAATGATGTGGCTCATTAATAGGTGATACTAACCACACGTGTCCCCGTTAGCATGAACAAATTATTCTTGCCAAGTTCAGGTATTCCCTGGCAGCTGAAGGAAACATGAGCTGTGCACATGTTAATATATTTCAAATTGCTTCATTAAGGGAGAGGATAATGGGTAGATAATTGTAGATGTGGGGGAATAGGTACCTCAAGTTCTTTACACTATTCATTCTACTTTTGTATATGTTTGAAAAGTACCATAACATCTTATCTTAAATGTCAGTCCTTTTATCATTATTTAGTATCGTCCCACTCCCCCAACCAAATAGTTTTCTGTGCTATGGGACAAAACCTCAGTCATCTGTCATTGGTAGCTGTGCTGGTAACAGATATGAAAATCTATTCTTTGACAGAGTTAAAACTTTTTTTACGTTTTTTAAAATGTTTTTTAAAAAACATTTTTTTAACTCAAACTTTCAAGTGTGAGGAAAGAAACTCAGATATCTACCCCGAATTTGTACTATTTCTTTTTTTTTTTTTTGAGACGGAGTCTCACTCTGTCGCCCAGGCTGGAGTGCAGTGGCCAATCTCGGCTCACTGCAAGCTCTGCCTCCCGGGTTCACGCCATTCTCCTGCCTCAGCCTCCCGAGTATCTGAAACTACATGCGCCCACCACCACGCCCAGCTAATTTTTTGTATTTTTAGTAGAGATGGAGTTTCACCATGTTAGCCAGGATGGTCTCGATCTCCTGACCTGGTGATCCACCCGCCTTGGCCTCCCAAAGTGTTGGGATTACAGGCGTGAGCCACTGCGCCCAGCCGAATTTGTACTATTTCATTTCAGTAAACAGTTTCAGAATTAGACCTACTGGGACCAGGAAGGGGAGTGCCTAACAGACATTACCATTTTCATTATCACTGGCAATGGTGAAGGCACTTCAAGAAGAACTCAACTCCTGAGAAAGCCTGACTTTGGTAATGTGGAAGGCAAACAGTGGAACTAGCTCACTTTTGGGACAAAGTATGCTCCCCAATTCACCCCCTCAACCCTAAATGCTCCCCAAAAGAAGCCTGGATCAATCGACACCAAATTAAACCACTGAGCCTGGAAGTAGTGGTTTTGAGAGATCCTCTTGGGAAAACTCTTGGAAATCTCCAATCTAGAATCTTCCTTTAATATTGATTAGACGATTGAAGCATAATCCAAAGGATTTTATCTGTCCAAGGGAGCATCTGTTTCCCAACAGCTTCTTGAACCCACATAAGATGATTCAGGTAGGCACAGGGGAAGGACACAGGGCTTCAGAATCAGCAGCATCCCAGTTTTACAGGATTTCACACTAGAGGAGTGCAGTGGATACTGAGCTGTGGGAACTGGTGCTTCATTTTCCACATCTCCAAAACAATAATGATAGAAGTTACTATGGGGATTAAATGAGACAATGCATAGGAAGTAGCTGGCATAACAGCTCACACGTTGGAAAAACTCAATAAAGACTTTTGGTTTTTGTAAATCATTTGATTACTTAACACATCTTAAAATGCTGACCACATCTTACCATGATCCAGACAGGCCCACTCACCATCCAATCCAAACCTCTTGTCCAAGGGAAAAATGTCTTTCCAAACACAGGACAATAAACTCATTTTATTTTGCTTTTGAAATAAGAAAATATTAGCATAAATATTTCATCTATTAATGAAATTACAATCTGAACAAAGAGCCCAATCATACAGTGTATCTATAAAGTTAGATAATGTCTTCTGATTTTCTACTCAGATAATCCCAAAGTAGAGCTTACAGTAGTAGAAAGAAATATTTAAGATGTAAAATTATCCCGCTATAATTTTGTTCTTGATTCCACAAAATACATCATTCTCATGAATTTCTGTTTTGAAATAAACAGTATAGACACATGGAACATTAACACCAAAATTCTGTGTAGAAATGTAAAATAGTAGACCTTAAGATGTACATTTTTCTTACGAATTTTCTAAAAATGCTGCTTCAAAAGGGAAAGTAAAATGCAAATCTATGCACGTATAAAGTCAAATCTCCCAAATGTTTTTACACAAAATCTTTAAAAGTTCTGATCACTATGCTCATTTTGCATACTTACAATACTGCACAGAAATTATATTGCAGAACCACATAAACAAAATTTTGTTGTGATCACGATGAAAAAATATGTATAAGAATATTTGTAACTATTCATATTTTTAAAAATCTTTAGGCTTGAAATTCAAAAAATGATATTTAGGGCAAAGTGCTATTCCAAACAGATATAACGTCATTTTAACTTTGACGTTTTACAGATATCTTTCAAATATAAATATATATATATACACACACACACACACATATATATATATATATTTTTTGAGATGGAGTCTCTCTCTGTTGCCCAGGCTGGAGTACAGTGGCATGATTTTGGCTCACTGTAACCTCCGCCTCCCAGGTTCAAGTGATTCTCTGGCCTCAGCCTCCCGAGTAGCTGGGACTACAGGCGCCCACCACCATGCCCAAGTAATTTTTTGCATTTTTAGTGGAGACGGGGTTTCACGATGTTAGCCAGGATGGTCTCGATCTCCTGACCTCATGATCCGCCCGCCTTAGCCTCCCAAAGTGCTGGGATTACAGGCGTAAGCCACCATGCCCAGCTCCAAATATTTTTAAAATTGCAAATAACAAAGTCAATGAAAACTAAATTCTTTTCAGTCCAGTGTGGGCTTCAAAACTAAATTATTAAACTATGTAAGGAGATAACAGATAACATTTACATTTCTCTTTGGAAAACAACATGAAATATTACCATTTTCTCCTATCAAATCAAGTCAGTATTTCATTCTGAAAGCAATGTATTAACATGTGATTTTATGAAATAACCAAGGTATAGGCAAACTCTCTTGCTGAGCATACACAGTAAGCCAGGATCCTCCTCACTGCTGGTTGGTTTTTTTTTTTTTTCCTCAGCACTTGTGAGGCCTTGTAGGGGACAGTGGATTAAATAGCCTTCAGGGTCAAAACAGTTCCTTAACATTTGGATTTTAAACTCCTGATAATTAAAATTGATTGCATAATTTGCCCCTATTTACAGGTGTGACATGATGTGAGATTCAGGATTATAATCCTTTGGATTTAAAATGGTTGGAGACAAGCTGGGGGATCTGGACTTTTTCTTCCCTCCATGCCTTCCCTCTTCAATCTGAAGACTCAGAAATTATCCCAAACCATAGAAAAGTGGAGTATTTGAGAATGAATCAACTTCTAATCCAATGAGTAGATTTCTAATTATTATCCACAAAGAGATGAAGAGCAGTGGACAGTGGAACAAGAATTAACACAAGGAGAAAGGAATCTCACCTTCAGAATATCTCTAGCATAATATTTGTTCAGATAACTGACCCCCTCCTATCCTCTTTTGGGTAATGATAAAACTAAATGTCTGATCTGCAAAGAAAACTCTCACCAGAGACCTGCTGATTCAAGAATTCAGTTCCTGCCCAACTGGAATACTGCCAACATTTTTTCATCCTAACAGGAATGCGTCTGCCGTTTAAATAAGAGCTTTTTCTCTGAAGGTAAAAAATGAGACGTTTTGGTGTTAACATTTCAGGTAAGACTGAGAGGTTGTCCTTGTGACTAAGTGTGTTCTGCTAAATTTAGAGTAAGTATTATATGTGATGGTAACAAAGGTGAGAGCCTGGAACCCGGTCTTAGGAAAAGAGCTTTCAGTTTCCAGTGGACAATTTCAAATAGATCTTACCAGCCACCCTTTGAGATCTATTCCAACCATGGCACTCCATGATTATTTGGATTCTCATAGTGGTGTCTACCCTTGGGCAGAGGCAAGGGCTGGCTGCAAGACTAAGAGAGAAAAAAATAAGAGTTTCTTTCTATATTAATCACCACATTTTGAAGAATCTCAAGTATTCTTTTAACAACCCCAGGTAAAACCCTAATGAGAAACTCCACCATGAAAAAGGGATGGCATCTTCACTCTTCACCACCACACCCAAGCTGACCTCCTTTCTCTAACCAGAACAAGGTTAGCAAAGCTACACGTTAATGTTTCCATTTTCTTTCTGAGGAGGGAACATGAAGGGGCTGAGACTGGGACAAAGCTGCTGCCCAGTGTCATCTGCTTTGGTTATGCATTGAAATTATCCCTAATTACAGCTAATTATATCAGCTGTGTCCTTACATTTCTCATAGAGCTATGCCCATTGACCAAAAGATATGAGTTCAGTTATGAGTACAAATCCCAAATGAGAAGCCTCTGGGCTAGTCCAGCTTTCTTTATTATGTGCTATTTTCCCTTATAAATATTAATATGTTAACAAAACAATAATAATAGTTTCCTTGGAAGGCAATACTTCTGCCAAAATAAAAAGTTTCAGAAACACGAAGAATCTGCTGGCCCCACACCTCTCTCAAATCTGAAGATTCTGGGGCTCAAGGCCATTGGTCATGTGAGGCTGTAGCCAGGCACTGCTGTAGCCACAGGCTCCCCATGTTTCTGATCTAATTCTCTCTCCACAGAATAAGCCACTGATCCATTGGTCCATAGCTGCAGCTTGGGATCGGATTCTTTGGCAATGAACTGCAGCTGGGTTTTTCTCATTCTCTTTACAAGTCTACCAAAGCCAAGCAACACAGAACTAAATATCATTGAAAATCCACAGAGGAGGAATGCTGCAGTGTAGCTGCCAGTGGTATCTACCAGCCATCCTGTAACAAACAACAGCAAAATGATATTGTTAAGTTGAAAATTCAATTGCTTACCCACTCTCAAATTCTAATACTTTGTAAGGTTAATAATAGACCAACAGCACCACCAATTGTAATTTTGTGCAGCAACTGAAAAACACATTCTGTTTTCCAGGAAAACTTCCAGAGTGAATTGATCGTTGTTATGTGAAGTGCTTGGAAGAGCATCATGTACTTAGTAGTCACAACGTAAATATTAGTTATTAACCCCGTGAAATCTGGTAAAAAGATAAAAATAGCATCATTTAAATTATTCAAGTTGGAATAATTCACCTAGGGTGTTAAAAGAACATATTTGTAAAAAATGCTAGTAGTAGTCACAGCACCCATACACTATTTTGAGTAACATGACGCTTCAAAGCAGTATCACATTTTCAATTGGATTCAGTCATTATACTCTATCCAGTTTGAAAAATCAGAACTTTGGGCCATTTTAGAATTCGCAAATGCAAACTAGCTTTTTTTTCTTTATCTCTTGTTGCAACAAATTAATCTCAGTATCTATCTCAGCTCTACATTTTGAGGAAAACCGGGCATATGATATGCAAAATAGGGGCCACGATGACAGAAAACCAGTGGGGTAACATTATACTTCATCAGGCAATTATTTTATAATTAACCAAGGTTTTTTAAAATTCCTTCAAACTTTCTGATCTGCCAAGAAAACCCATCAGAGAAGTATATGATTTCTTCTTTACCCACTTCAAATCCATTAGTTGAAAATGGCATGTAGAAGTTGTTATAAGTCCCACAAAATTTCCTGAATTTAAACTGCTCTCAGATATTTTAGTTATTGTTTGATTTACTTGTGCATTTCTATAGCATCAAACAAAAAAGACCGAGTAGAGAGTTGTTATTTGAAAGGTAAATAAGTAAGAAAATGATACAATAAGAATTAATCCTCGAATTCCCAGTAATGAGTATCGTGTTTGATTTGCCAATGAAGGCCACGAACTGAAAAAAAGATTCATGAATCCCAATTTCATTTGTGTCCTGTGACCTTTGATAGGATGACACTGTTTCTAAAGGTTGGTGAGCACTAAAATAGGCTATGGAGGGAGGACGTGGGACCATTTTGGGGGCAGTTTTCAAAAATGGAGCATTAAACATAAAGATCACCATGGAGTTTAAACTGAACAGGATTTTTTCATCTGCACCACTGAAGCGGCCACAATTTCCCCTAGTTTGCTGTTTTTATTCCACCCCAATTGCTGGATTTGGAAATAGCCTGAAACTGTCTATTCACAATAATAGCTAATAGCAGAAACCGTGTCTTCCTCAAAAAAATTCCTGCCTTCTTTCTAGGCAAAGTTTTGGGTTATTTCTCTTTTGCCTGTCTTCAGAGACCTTGTTCACTCTCTCAGTTTTAATTTAGGCAGATAATAATATGGAACAGTAATTCTCAATATTTACCATGCACGAGCATCACAACAAAGCTGGTTGAAAATATAGATTTCTGGAACTCATCCTCAACATTCAGATCTAGGTGGGAGTGTCAAGGAATCTGCATTTTTAATAAGGTCCCTAGGAGACTCTGATGCAGGTGGTGTAAGACCACATGCTTTAGGAAGGAGAAACAAGTTCCAACCTGTTTACTCCGGTCTCTCCAGCATGATAAACACAATGCTAGTTACACACACAATATATACTTGTTGAGTTACTTGTTTAATGCATACAATAAATATTTGTCAAATTATTTGTTTAATCATGCTTTACTCTATAGCATTTTAGAGTTTATAAAACATTCTGGGTGCTTTATATGATGACTCCCAAATCTATATATAAATCAGGCCATCCATTAAAGCTCATATTTCATCTTTAAACAGCTCTATTGAGCATTTCTACCTGTATATTTCAGAAATCTCAACATATCTAAAAACCATATTCATTATTTTTCAGGCAAAGCCACTTTCTCTAATTTCTTTATTTTCTCAACCACGACATTATTTTCTAAGTCATCCTTGACTTATATCTCTCATTCACCTCTGTATGCTAAATTCTGCTGAATTTTGTTTTGAAAACTTCCTCCTTGCCCCCAGAGCTCATCTTTATTTCTGCTGCAGCAGCCCTAGCTAGGCCTTTATCAGCTGCCTCCTAAACCATTAGAATGGAATCTTAGCTACCTCTCTCTTAAGTTACTAGATCAATTGCTAGATCACATTTTCTAACATATACCTTTACCATATTATCCTTTTACATAAAGACTTTAATACTATTCATAGTCTCTGAAGAATAGAGCCCAGTTCCTTTGTCAGGCACCCAAAACACTCCACTATGACACTGGCATTTATAATTTCAGCCTCATCACCCACTGCCCCCTGTTGGAATCCTGTTCTCCCCTGAGACTTCCCTCTGAATGCACCCTACTTATTTATAAAGCTAAACAACTGCTCCATCCCCCTGCTCCCATCATTAATATGGAAAGCAATCAAGACCCTAATTTGGGACTTACTCTTTCCAGGTAGGCTAAGATTCTTACTTGGTTGGAAGAAGATTATAAAACAAGGATGTAGGTGGGACCAAGATAGTTTTGAGGGCTCATATGTTCCTTTTCTCTTTCACTCTTCCCCAACTCTCTTGACAATTCTTCTCATTGACTGCATGTGAGTTTGCTGTTTTCACATCAATATGCCAAAGAGAAAAGGTGGTTGGGGTTTCTCTCTGGAAACTTACCTGCGATGGGTGGGCTCACCAAGTATGGCACTGCGTGAAGGAAGTATACCACACCAAGCGCTGATGACAAAGAGGTGGTCCCCACTATCTCTGTGGTCACTACTGGGATCAAAGTCACGTAGGCACCATCAAAGTAGCCAAAGGTACAAGAGAAAGGCACGAGCAGAGGGAGACTTTGAAGCATTGGAAGGCAGAGATAGCAGAGCCCATCCATTCCCACAGCAAAGAGGTAGCAAACGTACTGGTAATTCTTCAGACACCTGTTGATATGAAGAACAAGAATGAATGCAGGATGTACACATTCTGTAAAAGAGCTTTAGAGCCACGGCTATGTAGCAGTAAGCACTGCAGTTATTTATAGAGATGGCATTCCCATTGTGTGTTATCTATGTTGTCTTCCTATCTTTCCTTTTTGCAAATGCAAGAATTCATCTCCCCAGTAAGCATGGTGTGGTAGAAAGAATATATACTTCAAAATTAGAAAGGTAGAATATTAAAAGTATTTCTGCCACCCACTGCCTGCCTAACTCAATTTCTTTAGCTCTAAAATGGAAAGGTTACTTATCTCACAGGGTTACTCTGAAAGTAGTCGTGAAATAAAATGTAGAGCAGGGGTCTCCAATCTTTTGGCTTCCCTGGGCCACATTGGAAGAAGAATAATTGTCTTGGGCCACACATAAAATAAACTAACACTAATGATAGCTGATGAAAAAAAAAGAAAGAAAGGAAAGAGGAAAGGAAAGGAAAGAAAGGAAGGAAGGAAGAAAAGAAAGAAAGAAAGAAAGAAAGAAAGAAAGAAAGAAAGAAAGAAAGAAAGAAAGAAAGAAAGAAAGAGTGTGTGCATAAATCTCAAAATGTTGTAAGAAAGTTTACAAATTTGTATTGGACCACATTCAAAGCCATCCCAGGCCGCAGGCAGCCTATGGGCTGCAGGTTGGACAAGCTTGACGTAAAGGGTCAGGAGGGTAATTTTCCTAGCAGTCTACCTTATTAGATGCTTTTAGATATGTTATCCATTGGTATATAAATACACAATAACCCAAGTGGTTACACAAAGGGGAAACTGTAATACAAAGACATTAAAATGGTTTGCCAGAGATGATGGAGGTCTTGGACTAGGACAAAGTCTTAGTGGTATTCCCATTAATTTTCCTGATAACTCCAAACCCATCTATGATATGAATTATTTCAAAGACTCTGTATAATGTCAGCTCCAACAGCTTATGCTTTACAAACATTTTTCTACTCACAGCCTCATTTGAACCTCACAAAATAGTAATAAGGTCAACAGGCAAATATTGCATTGGCTCATTTTACAGAGAGAGATCAATGTGGATCTGAAGATTAGGTGACTTTCTGTAGGTTACAGGGTTAATAAGGAGCAGAGCCAGTGCAAGAACTTAGGTCTAGTATGCCTCAGACTAGAGATGCCTCCATTAGACCTACACCTGGCTGCTTCTTGCTGAGTTATTTGATTGTGAAAATAGGTACTCTTTGCTCTTCTCCTTCTTCTTTAACCATTACAAATGTCCAATTAATACTAAATATCATATTCATAACACTGGAGAATGGCAGTTGGATCCTGATTAATTGCCAAAAACATAATTTGTGAGAAGCTACATGATGGTATTAGCTCTGCAAGTCACCTCTCAAGTGTGAATGGTTCACCATTTAGGAGAATATGCATTCTTCAGTCCAAACAGATGAGCATTTGCTGAAGAAATTACTTCGTAGATTTCTTATAACTTTGGTTTCTAAGCCTACAATTACAAGGAAATTATTTGCAATTTGCATTGTCAAACATAAATATGTGGCTACAGATAATGTGTTATCATTGCACCTGGCCCTCCTGCCTGAATTGGATTCTGCTCCTTTTTCCATTGCCAGTCAGGAGTGGTTCAAAATAAACTAACACCACCACACCCAGCCAGAAGTTGCCTTGCTTGAGGACTGACTCATCTTAGGATGGAATTAAATCTTAAATCTACCACCAGAACCTGTAGTTACCCTAGGCTTCTGCAATTTAGACACATCTGGCCCATGACCTCTTTTTGTACTACCTGTGAACTAAGAATGATTTTTCTGTTTAAAAATGGTTGGAAAAAATCAAAAGAACAATATTTTGTGACACATGAAAATTATAAGAGAAATTCACATTTCAGTTTGCATAAAGTCTTATTGGAACATAGCCACTCTCTTTTGTTTACATATTGTCTGTGGCTGTTTTGTACTATAATAGCAGAGTTGGATAGCTGTGATGAAGAACACTTGGCCTACAAAGCCAAAAATGTTTACTATCTGTCCCTTTACAGAAAATTTTGCCAACCTCTGATCTAGAAGAACCAGCAAGGGAGATGCCTTCAGATACTGCAGACTTATTAACATTATTCAGACCTAGGTATTCTACAGGGTAAGGAGCTGAGGAGAAACTCAAGGCTTAAAGTCCCCTGGTAGGGAACCAATTGTAGTTTCATGAATTTTACCTTCTGTCGGTCAGCCATCCAAATGTAATATTGCCAATAATGTCAATCACTCCAAGTATGGACATAAGAAAAGCAGCTTGCTGATGACTCACTCCAACACTCAAAGCATAAGGCACCAAGTACACAAAGAGAGGGCTGCAGCCATAAGCCATAAACAGAACGGAGATGGCTAACACAACAAAGTCTGACATCAGTAAAAAACTGTACTCTTGCTGCAAACAGCAACAGAGGCAAGTCTGTGCCCATTCTTTGGTCAAAGATGAATAGGGAGACACCCGCTTAAAGTCTTCTTTCTGAGTTCTACAGACATGGTTCTCCTCTGGAGTTGTGTGATCCTCTTTAAGAGTAATTGGCCTCATCAAGGCACCACAAACACAGAGATTCAAGACAAAGCCCCCAAGAATGAGTAAGGCTCCCCGCCAGGAAAACTGTTCAATAAGGAGCTGAACCACAGGAGCCAGGATGAAGGTGCCAATGCCACTTCCTGACATGGCAATACCGTAAGCAAGGGCTTTCCGTCTGTTGAAGTACTTGCCAACCATGGCAATAGCTGGAGAGTAACAAAGTGCAAATCCCAGACCTGAGGATAAAGAGAACTCTATGAGTGCTGATGTACCATAAACAGCCAACGATATCTCAGAATACAATGATTCATATTAAAGAGAATCTGACCTCTCATTAAACGCTTTTAAAGCTGCTTTTTACACCAAACTTAAAATGAGTCTCCCCTCACCAGTCATTCACAATTTGGCAAATGTAGAATATACATGACTTTCTTCTTAGGGAGAACACCCTTAAGGAAATGTGACTTCATAAACAAAGTTAAATGAAGAACATAAAAAGCATTATATGAACTATATTGGAATTCACTAGAAAATCTGGATAATGTCAACCAAAGAAACTCATCACCTCCTCCATTTTTTAACTTAAATAATCCAGACAATTGCCTCAACTCTTCACGGCCTATGAAGACACAACACTGATAATCTGTACCACGCTGGAATTTGGATTCAAATAGCGTATACAACTATGAAAATTCCAGGGTAATTTTACATAGTTGGGAAACATTATGCCAGTTTTATATGTGAACATAGCAATGTATATTTTCACATATGTGAAAACATCTCTTAAGGTCAGGAGACAAATGTTGACGCTCTAGAGAAAGCTTTCTAGAGACCTTCAACTTTTGGGCTGGGTGCAGTGGCTTATGCCTGTAATCCCAGCGCTGTGGGAGGCCGAGGCAGGCAGACCACTTGAGCTCAGGAGTTTGAGACTAGCCTGGGCAATATGGCAAAACCCCATCTCTGGAAAAAAAAAAAATTAGCCAGGTGTGGTGGCATGCACCTGTAGTCTCAGCTACTCAGGAGGCTGAAGGGGGAGGATGGCTTGAGCCCAGGAGACAGAGGTTGCAGCTGAGATTGTGCCACTGCACTCCAGCCTGAGGACAGTCAGATAGATCCTGTCTCAAAAAAAAAAAAAAAAAAGATCAACTTCTATGACTTCTTAAGTAAAGAAAATCTGAGGGGCTTTGAGCCTAGATTTTATGGCAACTAGAATGTCAGAGAAGGAAAAAGAGAATCACCTTCTGAAGCTCCTGCTTTCATCTGCAGTGTAGGGTAGCCAGCAACCCAGAGTTGCCTGGACTCAGGGGTTTCTGGATGTGGGACTTTCAGTGTTAAAACCAGGACAGTGCCTGTTAAACTGGGATCCACTGGTCACCATAGCAGCAGTCAGGTTCTTTGGGTTATTAGGGGTGGATGTACCTTCTTTAGCTAACACAGCCAAATTTATAGCCTCACTATGAGGTTACATCCTTTATTGACCTTATTCACGCCACACCAATGGCACAATGCCCAGACAGGAGTTGGCGCTACTCTCCACACCCCTTTGAGTGATGGGCAAACTCCTACTGCAGTCCCACAGCCAACTCATCTTGATCCTACGCCGTCTCTGTAAGTGTGATTTATTGACTGTACATATTGTTTTTTACCCGTGGGATTTATTATAATTTGCTAAAGTTATAGCATTGAGAAAGAATGCGTAATATAAGAATATTCACAATAAAGGGCTTTTTTAAAATTAGAAACTCCCATTTATTGGACAGCAATATTCATTACAAAGCAGGAGCAACTCAGATTGACTGTCAATAGTATTTTAATGTCTTGGCAATGGTTGGAAGAATGACCATTGCTGAAAATTCACGTTGCCCTGGGTAATATCTTGTTTCTTCTGAGTACAGAATCTCAGCCATACACTAATTCCGAAGAGAAAGCTGCAGTTGCTTTTGCCATCTGGCTGAATTAAAGTGGAGATGCATTTTCATTAGGGTAATATAATCTCATTTCCAGCTCTGTTTAACTGCTAGGTAGGTAAACATAAGCTAGGTCAACTAAATTATACATCTAACAAAACGAATATTTTATGAGTTACTTCTCTGTTGATGTGCTTGGAACCTCCTGGATGGAGTGGCGTGAGACAGGTGGTACCAGGTGCCCTTACCTGTAAGAACTCCCAGAGTGAGGTAGAGATGTTTCAGACTCGTGGCAAATGAGCTCAGGATGAGTCCGGTAGATGCAAGCAAGCCACCCAGCATGATTCCCACTTGACAGGATAAATGGTTACTGACAACACTCCCAAGTGGAGCTTCAAAAACAATAAGAAATAGGTTCAACAGAAAGGCCTTGAGGGCACTGTGAAAAGGCTGTGATGTGGCATTGACAGAGCAGAGAACCTTTAAAGCATTGGGCCCACCCTATTAATTCTGCAGCTTTGCAAACTGAGGCCCAGACAAAGGAAGTGATTGTCCACGGTCCCACAGACAATAAGCAGCAGGGCTGGAATAGAACTCAAGTGTCCTGACCTGCATTTCAAGGCTCATTCCTCTTCATTCTATTATAGTCATACTGGCAGGACTGTAAGGTGCTTTTTAAACAGTGGATCAACTTTCTCTAAATTACATGTCACTTGCACAGGGATGCTTACTATAGTGTTGATCCTATATCATTAGCAATAATGGTGACAATTAATTGGTGGAGAAAGAAAGTGGATAACACCATGTGACCAGCAGTGTTATGCAGTAAAAGACCAGGGAGAGAGATCATAGACAAATTCCACAATCTGGCCCTGTTTTCAGGCTTCAGCAGGCCCTGTAGTTGAGATATCAAAGCCCAGAAAATCTAAGCAAAATGCTTCATGCACATGGTGACATTCTGGTTGGTCTCACTCGACTTGTGGCTTACCAGTCAGTGTATCAGAATTATGTTGACCTCAAGGCTCATAGAACATTAAGTAAAGCCAGAAGAGGCCAAAAAGGAACTGAAGTTCAGGGGTATATGGCATGGCCCAAGGTCACCAACAAGAGCACCTAACACTGATTGTGAGGTTATTTCTGCCCCTTACTCTTTGGGTCTCTCTGACTAATGGCAGGAGTGATGGGTGAGGAAGGCATGTGAGTTTCCTTCTAAGGAAAAATTCATGCTGACATCAGTAACTTTTAGTAGCAAGATCAGAAGAGCTGATTTTCTAGGTGTTTGAAGAGTATGATCATTTTCGTATCGATCAGACTGAAACTGGGGGCCAACTCAACTGGTAGCTTCTCTGTTCATCACAGAGCAGATCCATTCCCAGTGGGTGTCCCACATGTGATTCTGCAGACTCTCATCCATACTCTGAACTTTAATGTTCTAATATTATGTTACAAGGTGAGGAGGTAGGTATATGGTAATTGCTTACAACAGGCCTCTTGATCTTGCATAGAATTTAAATATGTTGCTTCTGACATAACCCTACTCAAAGCTTCACACAGTCATTGGGACCATATTGGTCACCTAAGGTCATTTCTCCCTATTTGGGAGATTATGAATATCCTCCAAAAGATAGAAATGAGGGAAATGAGTCACCTTTATCCTCTGAGAAGACAAGCATGGCTTCTTTGGTGTGCTGATGCAAATGCTGTGACTAATAATGAGACCCTGAAAATCAAGTGGTTTAAAAAAAAAAGACAGGCTCTAAAACTCAAATATATGATTTTTTGATCCCTTAAGACCTTCTTATTAGTTGAAAGAGTAGAGTTGATTTAGCCTTCTCATGAAATCTGCTTTTAGTCTTAGAACTGCTCTCAGCTTCCCCCAACTAAACAAATATTATACATTTCAGTTACAATTTAACTGATTCCTGAGTATGTGTATTTTTTCCAAAAAGAAATATGAGTCAGTACCTAGAATGGAATAAAATGGTACTATGAGTTACTGAATACAGGTATTATTTCCCTTTTGCCACTAAGACATGGCTTGAAGAGATGAACATTTCCTAAAATACTCAGAACTCATTTAAATGAATGGATTAAGTGGGTCTAAGCTAAAAACAATTTGATTTAATCTTAGAAACTCTCTAAGACATCAGTTTAATAATGTGGGTGTGAAATTTATTTTAAACAAATGCCAGGTCTGTTGTACTCTACTACACAGATGGAATGTTAATTCCATACATTTCTAGAACACCCTATATACCTTATATAACACGTTTGGAGTTTCTTGAATGAAATTACACCCATAATGAATATGTTTATCTCATGACGACATAATCCTATCCTTCCCCAATACTTCTGTAAGCATGAAGATTTATACATGATAAAGATGAAATCCATGAGCCAAATGTCAAGTCCTTGGGAAAGGAACAGAATGCAATCCAAGACTTGAGATGTGATACAACACTGTTGGCACTCATTACTGTATAGAAATGGCTCATGGTACTATCGATAACCATTTACATAACTGGAGAATGAGAAGGCCATAGCATTTGGAAGAGAGAAGCCAAGCATATACTGTAAATTGCTTCCAAAATCAGTACAGGTTCTAGAATGTTCAGCATCCTATCACTATATGGAAGAACCAAATCTTATGGGTTCTTTTGAGTGTATTATCTAACTGTTCTACCTGACATCAGCGAAGACCATTAATTACAAGAGCAAGTCTGGTTGGTTTTGGCTGAAGGTAGGATTGATCTTTTCTTTATATTATATAGTCCTGGCCAGTTTTTAATGTAGCCCTTCTACTTGGAAAAACTGGTAATCAAAGTCAGTGGAACGTCATTGTCATATGCAGTTCAACAGTGGCCAGTAATTCCCTATCCTAGCAAGTGATACTCACCACAGAGCATGGTTACACAATCTACAATGGAATGGATCCATGCCGTTTGTGCGTAATCCTGAGTGAAGTATGTCTGGAACTCCACAAAAAAAATTGAGATACATCTGAAAAATACAATGCAGGCATTTTATACAAAAAGTGAATGAGCATGCATTTGAGCCAGAACTTAAAATGCCTGGTTCAATTAGCTGGTCCTGTCTCCAAGGGTTTTAATTGCTAGACTATAATAAGTGGGAAATCAGAAGTTGACCATTTGGGCCATGCTGGAGAACAAGAAGAACAAGTGTTCAACCACCACATGGGCTATACTAAAGCCAAGTAGATGTGAAGACCACTGCTCTAAAGAAGGTTTTATGGAAACAAAGGCAGGTCAAGAACATGGATTCTTATTTGTTTTTGTATTTTGCTAACTTCTTCTAAGAGGTTATTATACAAATTAAGATTTGACAATAAAGAATTATATATCACCAGCATTGTCATTTCTAGGATTTATATAAAGGAAATAATCAGGTGATATTGATGACTGATTGATAGATAGATAGATAGATAGATAGATAGATAAAAGGATATATTCTGGAGAACTAGTTTAGTCTATAAAATTATATATATGTATATAAAATGATAAATTCTGAGGGATAGAATAATAATAGATATATAAGAGGATATATTCTGGAGAATAGCCAAATATCATAACTAATGTGACTGTTCATCAATAAAGGACTGGTTAAATAAATTATGGCATATCAATAAAATAAAATAGTATGTCTTAAAAATCATGATGTTGATCTGTATGTATTGATTTGGAAATAAATTTGCAATATAGTGTTAAGTAAAAAATAAGTTAGTTACCAAACAGTCCATACAGTAAGAACTTATTTTGTAAAAACAGTCTATGTAAATAGAAAATTTCCTGGATGGCCGAATAGGAACAGCTCTGGTCTGCAGCTCCCAGTGTGATTGATGCAGAAGATGGGTGATTTCTGCATTTCCAACTGAGATACCTGGTTCATCTCACTGGGACTGGTTGGACAGTGGGTGTAGCCCATGGAGGGTGAGCTGAACAGGGTGGGGCATTGCTTCACCTGGGAAGCACAAGGGGTCAGGGGATTTCCCTTTCCTAGGCAAGGGAAGCCGTGACAGATTGTACCAGGAAAACTGGGACACTGCCACCTAAATACTACACTTTTCCAATGATCTTAGCAAACAGCACACCAGGAGATTATATCCCATGCCAAACTCAGAAGGTCCCACGCCCATGGAGCCTTGCTCCCTGCTAGTGCAGCAGTCCAAGATCAGCCTGTGAGACTGCAGCCTGGCTGAGGGAGGGGCGCCTGCCATTGCTGAGGCTTGAGTAGGTAAACAAAGCGGCTGAAAGCTCGAACTGGGTGGAGCCCACTGCAGCTCAATGAGGCCTGCTTGCCTCTATAGACTCCACTTCTGGAGGCAGGGCATAGCTGAACAAAAGGGAGCAGAAATTTCTGCAGACTTAAACATCCCTGTCTTACAGCTCTGAAGAGAGCAGTGGTTCTCCCAGCACAGTGTTTGAGCTCTGAGAATGGACAGACTGTTTCCTTAAGTGGGTCCCTGACCCCCATGTAGCCTAACTGGGAGACACCTCCCAGTATGGGCCGACTGACGCCTCATACAGCCGGATACCCCTCTCAGACGAAGCTTCCGGAGGAAGGATCAGGCTGCAATATTTGCTGTTTTGCAGCCTCTGCTGGTGATACCCAGGCAAAGAGGGTCTGGAGTGGACCTCCAGTAAACTCCGACAGACCTGCAGCTGAGGAACCTGACTATTAGAAAGAAAACTAACAAACTGAAAGGAATAGCATCAACATAAACAAAAAGGACATCCACACCAAAACCCCATCTGTAGGTCACCATCATCAAAGACCAAAGGTAGATAAAACCGCAAAGATGGGCAGAAACCAGAGAAGAAAAGCTGAAAATTTGAAAGACCAGAGCACTTCTTCTCCTCCAAAGGATCACAGCTTCTCATCAGCAATGGAACAAAGCTGGATGGAGAATGACTTTGACGAGTTGACAGAAGTAGGCTTCAGTAATAATGAACTTCTCCAAGCTAAAGGAGGATGTTCAAACCCACTGCAAGGAAGCTAAAAACCTTGAAAAAAGATGAGACGAATGGCTAACTAGAATAAATAGCATAGAGAAGACCTTAAATGACCTGATGGAGCTGAAAACCATGGCATGAAAACTATGTGACGTATGCACAAGCTTCAGTAGCTGATTTGATCAAGTGGAAGAAAGGGTATCAGCGATTGAAGATCAAATTAATGAAATGAAATGAGAAGAGAAGTTTAGAGAAAAAAGAGTAAAAAGAAATGAACAAAGGCTCCAAGAAATATGGGACTATGTGAAAAGACCAAATCTATGTTTGATTGGTGGCCCTCAAAGTGATGGGGAGAATGGAACCAAGCTGGAAAACACTCTTCAGGATGTTATCCAGGAGAACTTCCCCAAGCTAGCAAGGCAGGCCAATATTCATATTCAGGAAATACAGAGAACACCACAAAGATACTCCTCAAGAAGAGCAACCCCAAGACACCTAATTGTCAGATTCACCAAGGTTAAAATGAAAGAAAAAATGCTAAGGGCAGCCAGAGAGAAAGGTCGGGTTATCCACAAAGGGAAGCCTATCAGACTAACACGGATCTCTTGGCAGAAACCCTGCAAGTCAGAAGAGACTGGGGGCCAATATTCAACGTTCTTAAAGAAAAGAATTTTCAACCCAGAATTTCATATCTAGCCAAACTAAGCTTCATAAATGAAGAAGAAATAAAATCTTTCACAGACAAGCAAAAGGTGAGAGATTTTGTCACCACCAGGCCTGCCCTACAAGAGCTCCTGAAGGAAGCACTAAACATGGAAAGGAACAATCAGTACCAGCCACTGCAAAAACATGCCAAATTGTAAAGACCATCGATGCTAGGAAGGAACTGCATCAACTAATGGGCAAACTAACCAGCTAACATCATAATGACAGGATCAAATTCACACATAACAATATTAACCTTAAATGTAAATAGGATAAATGTCCCAATTAAAAGACACAGACTGGCCCACTGAATAAAGACTCAGGAGTCATCAGTGTGTTGTATTCAGGACACCCATCTCACATGCAGAGACACATGCAAGTTCACAATAAAGGGATGGAGAAGATCTACCAAGCAAATGGAAAGAAAAAAAAAAGGAAGGGAAGTCTCTGATAAAACAGACTTTAAAGCAACAAAGATCAAAAGACACAAAGAAGGCCAATACATAATGGTAAAGGGATCAATTCAACAAGAAGAGCTAACTATCCTAAATATATATGCACTCAATACAGGAGCACCCAGATACATAAAGCAAGTCCTTAGAAACCTACAAAGAGACTTAGACTCCCACACAATAATAATGGGAGACTTTAACACCCCACTGTCAATATGAGACAGATCAACAAGACAGAAGGTTAATAAGGATATCGAGGACTTGAACTCAGCTCTGCATCAAGCAGACCTAATAGACATCTACAGAGCTCTCCACCCCAAATCAACAGAATATATATTCTTCTCAGCACCACATTGCACTTATTCCAAAATTGGCCACATAGTTGGAAGTAAACCACTCCTCAGCAAATGTAAAAGAACAGAAATCTCAATAAACTGTCTCTCAGACCACAGTGCAATCAAATTAGCACTCAGGATTAAGAAATTCACTCAAAACCGCATAACTACATGGAAACTGAACAACCTGCTCCTGAATGACTACTGGATAAATAACAAAATGAAGGCAGAAATAAAGATGTTATTTGAAACCAATGAGAACAAAGACACAACACACCAGAATCTCTGGGACACATTTAAAGCAGTGTGTAGAGGGAAATTTATGGCACTAAATGCCCACAAGAGAAAGCAGGAGAGATCAAAATTGACACCCTAACATCACAATTGAAAGAACTAGAGAAGCAAGAGCAAACAAATTCAAAAGCTAGCAGAAGGCAAGAAATAACTAAAATAGAGCAGAACTGAAGGAGACAGAGACAAGAAAAACTCCTCAAAAAAATCAATGAATCCAGGAGCTGGTTTTTTGAAAAGATCAACAAATAGATAGACCACTAGCAAGACTAATAAAGAAGAAAAGAGAGAAGAAACAAATAGACATGATAAAAAATGACAAAGGGGAAATCACCACAGACCCCACAGAAATACAAACTACTATCATAGAATACAAACTACCATCAGAGAATACTATAAACACCTCCACGCAAATAAACTAGAAAATCTAGAAGAAATGGATAAATTCATGGACACATATTCCCAAGACTAAATCAGGAAGAAGTTGGATCCCTGACTAGACCGATAACAGGCTCTGAAATTGAGGCAATAATTAATAGCCTACCAACCAAAAAAAGTCCAGGACCAGACGAATTCACAGCCGAATTCTATCAGAGGTACAAAGAGGAGCTGGTACCATTCCTTCTGAAACTATTCCAATCAATAGAAAAAGAGAGAATCCTCCCTAACTCATTTTATGAGGTGAGCATCATTCTGATACCAAAGCCTGGCAGAAACACAACAACAAAAAAAGGGAATTTTAGACCAATATCCCTGATGAACATCTATGCAAAAATCCTCAATAAAATACTGGTAAACCGAATCCAGCAGCACATCAAAAAACTTATCCACCAAGAACAAGTTGGCTTCATCCCTGGGATGCAAGACTGGTTCAACATACACAAATCAATAAATGTAATCCATCATATAAACAGAACCAAAGACAAAAACCACATGATTATCTCAACAGATGGAGAAAAGGCCTTCAATAAAATTCAACATTCCCTTCATGCTAAAAACTCACAATAAACTAAGTATTGATGGAACGTATCTCAAAATAATAAGAGCTATTTATGACAAACCCACAGCCAATATCATTCTGAATTGGCAAAAACTGGAAGCATTCCCTTTGAAAACTGCCACAAGACAGGGATGCCCTCACTCACCACTCCTATTCAACATAGTGTTGGAAGTTCTGGCCAGGGCAATCAGGGAAGTGAAAGAAATAAAGGGTATTCAATTAGGAAAAGAGGAAGTCAAATTGTCCT